TGGATAAAAGCATCTGCTAAATGACTAAATGTAAATGTAAATGTAAATATTGGTCATAGCCGTCCTTTCAGAGAATACATTTTGATAGGGTTTGGAGTACCAGGCCTCATTTTACAACCTGGCAGAAAAATATATAGACATATAAGTATAACATATAATAATAATAATAAACTAATAACTTAAAATAAATTAAAACAATTATAATAATTGTAAAAAAAAATCATTAAATGATTACATTTAAAATACTGCCACTATTAGCAACAAAAAGGCTACAATTAAAACAAATAAAACAAAATAAATCTGAGCATTTGCATCACAAATGTTCACAAAAGCCTCTGTGCCATTTGTCAGCGTAAATGCACATATGAACAATAAATGTTTTACACATCAAGTGGCTGAATTTTAAAGTGAACGCAATAAAGTGTACTACTGAATTTCTAATAAAAGCTTCTATGATGTGTTATAAAAATAAACTAGCATATTAATACTGAATGCCTCTGAAAATGTGTAACACAACCAGCTTGAATGTGGTTTTATTTCGTTACTTTATGAATATCAAGACCGTCAATAAGGTGGGTCTCTAAAATGAACTGTATGCATCATCCAAACATGTCACTGCATCAGCAAATGGCTGCAATATAACAAAGAGTGAAAAATTTAAGGGGGTCTGAATACTTTCCGTACCCACTGTGTATGTATATATATATATATATAAAAACAATATTAAATTATAAAGATTAAGTGATAAAATATGAACAATATAAATTAAAACCATTTTAAACAAACATGAAATAATCAAACCATTAACTAGAAGTCTGAAATGGTGACAAATAACTAAAATTATTAAAATATAATTAACTAAAACCCATAAAAAATACATTTAAATTAAAACTAAAACAAATTGCATCACAATTAGATGTTAATGCTTGTTAATGTATAAAGTGTAAACGTCAAATATTTTAGGGAAAAATGTTTTAATCATGTACCCGTATATAGATAAATTAATAAATACTCATGTTTTGCAGCACATACTGCACCCATACTTACTGGAAAAATAAATATGTAAAAAAAAAAAAAAAGTATTTATTGCTCATCCAAACAGTTGTGGCATCATTTTATTGCACTGCCAAATTTCACTGATTTTTTTTATTAACATTAGTGCATTTAACAAGAATTACATTAAATAGTCAAGTTAAATCAACTCTGAAACAATGGCCCACAACTGACAGCAGAAAACTAAATAGTCTCATAAAAAGAGAACAAAAGCAGCAAAAATAAATTTAAAATTCTACATGTAAATTGTGTACCTGCTGTGACGGACCCCCGACTCCCCTCAC